CATACACACAAACTGGGCACAACCTGCGACAGCTTCTCCCCTCCCAGCTTCCCCCACCTGCATGACTCCCGCACAGGGCCGGCTGAAGCCCACGTTGAACTGCCAGGAGAGCGGCGCCGGCAGTTTGCCAAATCCGTGACCCCTCAGAAGATGGCGCTCAACGCAGCTGCAGCTGAACACCATCTCAACCAGCTAGCATCTTATGTACAGGTCCAGTACTCTCCTGCCATCTACTGCTAGGAGGATTTAGCTCAATGCTTTAACAAGTATGCCATCTGCTGGCCAGAAGGGGAATACCTGGGTGAGCCCAATACACTATGTGAGGAATCAAATTCTACAAACATGGGAGCACCTAAGTGCGGCATGCTTAAATAGTAGGCCCACACACACACACCGATGTTACAGAGACAAACACATCAACACGACACAATGATCCAATCCAGCACTATTATATACAATATGAACCGGACACAAGCTAAACAAACCCTGACGATGAGCCAGTGAGAAAATAAACTTACACACACATTTAGTGGACATTAATACGTCAAGCCACCAATTCACCACTCTATACACAACAAATGACCCTCCGACCACAAGGGGGCGCCCCAACTCCTAGGCCTTACCTTTGAGGAGGGGTAGCGGCGTGAGCTCGATGGGTTTGCCCTGAGACCGGAACTGCGAGGAACTCTGCGACCGCTTCTGCTTCACCTTCCTGACAGATTTCCGGGAAAATCCGTCCACTTTGTCCACCGATGGAGGCGAGGTGGCTGCTGAGGACATAGCCCTGCTGGAAAAAGGGGGGGGGGGTCAGCGAAAGCAATCCACACGCACGGAGAGTCACTGGTACAAATAAAAGCCCATAACTACTGTGTCAGCGTAAGCCTCTGGTGGATTTGGCCCCAGTTCTCTGGATCCCAGGGGGGTGGACAAGAGGGAGAGAGACACGCATCTGGGCGCTGATGGAATGTTCCATGACGGCAGCACATGGTACATGAGAGCGGCAACAGCCTCGTAGCTGAGGCCTGGGCTCAGAGACCCTCGCAGCACACAGCTCAAAGTGCACGCTCACATCTGCCGATCCAGAGCACTGGGAAAGGCCTTTAATGTGGGAATATTAAGGCAGCAGGATGCACCTCACTCCGGCCTTCCCACAATCCTGCTGCTCTGCAGAGCAAGGGCCCCCCCGCACCCCCAAGCCGGAGAACCCAAGGCCACCAGGTGCTCCTTTCTCGTGCTGCACACCTGTAATGCAATCTGCCTCCAGGTGCCAGAAGCAACACTGAAAGCCTCCTGTAAGCCGGGACAGGAGCTCCACTGAGAGAAGCAGGACCCAGCAGATTCCTTCTCAGGAGTCCAAAGGATACCTTGCGTTTCCAAACCCAAGAAAGTCAGGTGACGCCACTAAACGCCATTTCACAATATGCACGGAGACGACGCGGTGGGGACTTCATCCCACGTTCCTTTGGCCACGTTACGTTTCGCTCCTTGAGCTCTAAGGACACAACCCCCTCCAACCAGGAAACATCAGCATCCCAGTCCGTAATAAAATCCCCAATGCAGGGTCCCAAGTTCAAGGCCGTGGCTGGGAATGGACGGGGCGTCACGCAAAAGAGAAACCAAAAATGCTAATAGCCCATCGGGCCAACAACACAAGAGTGCTTTGCGATCCAAGGTAATCCGCGAGCCACCGTGCAGAGATGGATGGCCGGGTCTCGCTACGGCACCGGTGGCAATCAGCTGACAAGGCCACACGCTCCAATTGGTCACCTATCTATCAGCCGCCATTACATAAGAGCCCAGATGACCTCCCCACAGGTGGTGGGATTAGAAGCCACGAGTGGGGGGGGGGAAACAGTGGGAGCTCGGTCACAAGACATGCAGGGCTGGGAGGAAGCTAGCGATGGGACACCCCCACACCCCAAACAGAGTCTGCCCCACATGCTGATTACAGACTCACTCCTGAAGATCTATTTCACTCATAGGGGTAAAGCTGTCAAGTCCAGATTTAACAGTTCCACCCCCCTCCCACTGCCAAACCTTGTCAAGTCAGAGTGATGAGACTGGATCTGATATTTCTGAAGCCCAGGAGAACAGGACAGAACAAGGGACATCACAGCCTGTCCCTAAAGAGACCAGCGGGAAACGTGCCAGCAAGAAGGAGGACACAGTTTACAGCACCTGTCATAAAGCAGGTAGTCTTTGCAAGTGGGGGGTGGGGTCATTTGCATGCCTGCAAATCAGCTGATCCCACACTGAGTAAGCGTTCATATATGCAGGAAACAAACCATTATAAACACAGTTATCACCAATGCCATCTCTCACAGAGCTGATACTTATCCAAATGGCCTGGCCACTATTAGAAACTGTACACAACTTCAAAAAAGAAAAACACACATTCAGAAACTCCATAGCAGTTTGGGTTAAGAACTGAATTTTAATCCACACCCTTCTGGCTAACGGGCCCAAATCCATAACCACTACGCCACCTGCTGTCCATGACACCAAATGATATTCAGGGGAGACTGAGAAACAGCCAGTTCTCGCTGGCAGAAGGTGGACAGAACCATCGCTTTTCCCCACCATCGTCAGCCTGGGATCGATTCAGGCGGCCAAGAAGGAGCACCGGGGAAGCACAGGTACCGGAATCAAAGGCACGATACATAGGCCGCGAATGCCTAGGCTGCTGTGGAGCCTAATACCAAACATCTACGGCCGCGTACAGAGTTTACCAAGGTAAGTTGGTTACACAATGCAAAACGCCCACTGGCTGCTTCACCCCCTGTAACCCATCACACGCATTTCCGGCGCTTCTGCAGTAACTCCGGCAATATGCAGAAATGCAACACACAGGAGGCCGACAGAAAAAGCAGCGTATCTTCCCAAGGTACCTTAATACCTGAGGTTACATACACGCCAGTGCCGTGGGAGGTGTGACAGGCACACTGACATCCTCATGGCCCCGCTCCTTCCGGGTTAACCACACAGGCCATGTCTACAGATATGAAAATGCAGTCTAACTACAGAAAATTACACACGGCCACCGGATCAGCCGGGCATGTATTTTTTTTTTTTATTATCTGAATACAGAGTTTATACAAAGACACTGTATATTTACACTGGACGCGGGCCAAATAAAGCGAGCAAATTTAAACGAACTATCTCGTTACACAGTTAGAGGTGCGCTGGCTAAATACAGCGTCCAGGGGGTGTGAGAGCGGGCGGCGGACGCCATGCAGCAGAACCAGGAGTCCCGGAACCGTGGAAGAACCCGGATCTTGGGCCGAGTCTGCGGGGCGATCCCGGAGAAGCACATTCTCCGCCGGACACTAGGGCGCAGGACGTACGAAGCAAGCCTTAAACACCGCAGTGGACAGTCACTAACACTCTGAAGACGACAACCAATATACGTTTAAGCACCATTTTCAAAGGTGGGGAGTAAAGCGGCGGCACCCCCTGGATCGAACGGCTCATTCTGCAGGCCTAACCAAGCATCCCTCAGCCAGACAGGCAGATAACCCACTCATGTCTGACATCGATCCTCGCAGCCTTTCCGGCCGCTTTCACCCCGACGGGTGCCTCCAGTTCGCCAGCCCCACACGTTTCCACAGCACGAAGCCTGATAGCCGGCGGCCACCGCGTACGGAGAGCCGGCGGAGCGACTCCGCTTTACCTTGATCCTCTGTGCTTCGGAGCGGAGATGACGGCAACGGGCGACCCTGCTTCGTGGTATCTACGCCGAGGTGTTTCTCGGTCCGGTGCGGTCAGCCCCTCCCCGCGGCCTTTCCGAGACAGCCAGACCCGCCAGCACCTTTTACCTCCTAACGAAGTAATCCACCGCGTCCCATTAACATATAAAAGGACGAAGCGAGCTCAATCACGTGCCTGGCTTGTCGGCGGAATCGCTTGCTTAAAGCGCAGCCCTAGCGCTCGTTTATTTCTGTCTTATATTCCTCTTTTTTACTCTTGTTTAATTCGGGGCGATCTCTTTTTCGCCCTATTGTCAATATTACTGGGCTGAGTCCATGGCACACATAACACAGCTACACTCTACGTTACTACTCCGCCTCGTCTAATGAACGCTGGCTATTGGGTAGTTTGAAGGAATTGCGAGTTCTGATTGGTTGTCATTCACGTCCATCACCGGCAGGGGCGCCCTCAGATGGATAACTGCGTTCGGTTGTGGAGCATATGACTAGGAATGAGATTGGGCGAAGGCGAAGGCGAAGGTGGGACATTCCCCGTATGGAATGAGGCTCAGCTCGTTCCCCCGCACTTCGCTCTTCATTTCGCTCTCTTTCCGCTCCGTCGCTCCGTGCCTGGTCCCAACGCTCTGGGAAAAGGCAGTCATATAAAATGCCGCGGAGCAGAAAGCTGCGAATTGCCCTGGCGGGCGGCATGGTTTGGGCGGGGGATTAAACAGGGATTTTATTACAGGAAAGGCGAACGCGAACCATGATTGTTACATAACCGGAACCGGAACCGGAAAACCACAGTGACCAACCTAGAATATATTAGGCTGCCCCCTAACGTTAATCAGATGATTATATTTTATATACCAATTATTAGAAAGTAAACTCTTAATGTTCATCAAATAAGAAAATAAATGGATTTTAAATATTAGAAAGAAGAGTGACTTTGACCTTGACACATGAACGTAATACACTTTTATCTTTGTAACTGACTAGGAAGACATTCCTGTGTTCATTTATTAGGCGTGAGCATAATAAAATGGATTACTATACGTCACACCCAAGAACTTCACCTGGTGGAGACCATGGTGTGTGAGCTGTCATAGGAATGTCTCTGCATTCCAGGCTGTTGCACTCATGCAGTCTTGCTGGGACACACGACTCGTGCTTCTTTTACATTTTTATTTTGAAAGTCTTCCATTTATGTTGTGTTTAGTGCAAAAGCCAAGAAATAAAAACAGACAAGATATCACAAACTCAAAAAGGATTAGTATGACAATTTATTAAATAAAAAAGAAGAAAGACACCGTGTTCAAGACATATTTTTATTCAAATGAGAAGATAAATGTCAGCCCTCCCATAACCCAACCACTGTAATGTCTGCACAGGACAAATGGTAACCCCCAGATGTAAACCCCATAAGAGCATATTTCAGCCTGCAAGCAGAGAATAGCAGTGCCGGCACACACAGTCTGCCAGGGGTTATTGGCTAATTAGCGTCACCTTCCCGGTGTGAAATATGACCAGCTTCCTGGCCCTACACAGCTGATGGCCCCATCTATCCACAGGGGTCAAACCAAGGTCACCTACCTCAACCTGTGCAAAGCAAGTTGGAGTTTTCAGAACAAAGGGCAAAAAGCCAGAACTTTAAAAACAGAATATGAAAGAGCACATTGACAAATACGACAATTTAAAAGATTTTAGTTGATTTTAAAAAGATGCTAGGGTGTTAAAAGCTGGTCTGAAACAACATGCTAATTTTTCAGGGTTCTACAACCCCAACATGCTGACACAAGGCACAGAGAGGCCAGCTGTCCCATGACATCTAAAAGCTCCAGTCCAGGAGGGTGGGAACCCTGCAGTATCACATAACACATGACATATCACATGATACATATCACATGACACTATGGAGTGATGATAAGACAAATGCCACTTTCTCTGTCCATTTCTCCTCCAGTGGGAGGCACTATGTTCTGTAAACATGACCCCCGTTTAAGTTCAAAACCACTGAGGTAAAGTACCCTACTTGTGTGCATCACATCGTCATGCCCCCTCCCACATTCAGGGACCCCCCCTTCCTCACTGTTCCAAAAGAGCAGCTGTACCATAGCAACCTCATGTGTCTGGAGGACTGCACACACTCCCAGCTCCCTTCTTTAAATGGCCGCCTTTCCTGCTCCTGTTATTTGAGTGGGGTCTGGCTTTGATCTGTAGGCCAGACAGGCTCTTCAGGGTGCTCCTCCCCTGTGGCGAAGACTCCTCTGCCCCAGGCTTCCACTGCAGCAGCTGGGAGTCCTCCCCTCCAGTGATTAGAGAGTTCCCGACAGGATCCCATGCAAAGCAGCGCACAGTGCAAGAATGGCCACCTTGAAGAGATTTCAGTAGCTCCAGGCCTTGGTCGGCACAGTGCAGCAGGTGGACCTCCCCACGGCGGGTCCCACCCAGCACCAGCAGTTTCTCCATACCTTCCACCCAGGCCCCACCCACAAAGTAATCCAGGGAGGCCTGGATGGAGAGAGGGGCGGAACTGCGGGCGTCAGGGAGGTTCAGCACGGTCAAGGGCTCCTCCGTGTCCAGCTGGCTAAGGTCCCACAGGTAGAGGCCCTCATCATGACTCAAGCACAGCAGACGGCCATAGTCATGGCCCGCCCAGGACACAGAACTGACAGAGGAGCCAGAGTTACAGGTGGCCAGGAGCGCCTCCTCTTCTGAGGCACAGCTCAAGTCGAACACATTGACCAGGCCATCGGTGGAACCCGAGGCCAAGCGGTCGGGATCGCGGGGGTGGAAGCACACCTGTGTGACATCATCACTGTGGGACTCTGAGTACACACCCAGAACACCACCGCCATCTGCACCCTTCACCACACGTGCATCCCAAAACAACAGGAAGCTGTCCTCATCCTGCTGCTCCGTGCCACCACACAGAACTACGCCGCCACAACTGATGTCAAAGCTGCACACAGGATACGACTGTGAGCTGCTGAACACCTGCACGGCCTGACAGGTGGGCGAGCGTACATCCCAGGCCCGGATTGTTCCATCAACAGAGCCGGAAAACAGGAGGCTGGGTGAGGTGGGGGAGAAACGCACCCCACAAATGGCACCCGTGTGACCCTGAAACTCTCGCAGCTGACCCAGGTTGTGCAGATTGTGGAGCTGGACCAACCGATTCGAGTAGCAAACAGCCATCAGTCTGTCCCCAGAAGGAGGTCCTGTCTGAAGGGCCACGTCCAGCACGTAGCTGGGCTTGCTGGACTGCAGGCGCCGGGCCAAAGATAGAGCATCGAACTTAACCTCCAGGCTCTCCATGGCGACACTTATCTTACTCACTTATTCAGTTATTCTGAAACGGGAGAAAATCGATCAATACTTACAGGATTTCATTTAACTGAGTATGAACTGTCTGCGTATCATACGCATATGAAAATGAACGACCATGCGATATAAAATATAAAGATAAAAGCATTACAGTGCAGGACCTTCCGATGCGGTAGTAGCCGTAACACGTAATAAAATACTAAATTTCGTAACATTAATATGAACGTGTCATATCAAAGATCAGTCTGCTGTCAGAGCAATGACTTTCGAAGGCACTGCTATGCTAATACGTTACCGTTTACCGTTAATCTTAGACGTTCCTGAGTCGTCAAGCGTTTATCAAAGAGTATGGTTCAAGCTCTTGAATCCATAATATTCAATGCATCTGGCCTGCAAAATAACTGAATAAAATCCCACATTCCTCTTATCTGAGGCTCATGTTTTTCACCGATCAACCCACGAACTTCTTACGCACGGAGTGTCACATTTTTAGTGCTCCCCTGGAAACCGCACGCCAAAGTTACGAGGTTCCTGTTTAATACATAAACTTAAAATGACTGTATCTATACGAATTATCAGTTTCGGTATAACACATATAACTACGGAAGAAGACAACACACTAACCTATACCTAAAGTCTGGTAGTGAACGGTAAATACATATCCAAGATTTTGATCCTTTTAAACGTAAGCGTCTCACACGGCGGTTTGTGAACTACCCAATGTTTTCCCTGTGGATAGTTTTCCCTGAGACTTAAACGCCAGGCGGCAGCAAAACACTGCAAATTTATTCAGACTGGCAATGCTATCGTTCCATCACTAAACCACTTATCCAGGACAGAGTCGGAATGGGGACCTAGAACTGACGTAATCGGATAGTGCGAAACCTAGGCTATTACAGATTTACAAGACTCTGTTTGTTGCATTGACTAATTTTTGCACGTTTTATTATTTTTCAACAAAAACTATCCATCTTTCGACTTCTAATCTCGGTCAAGGTCACAACGCAATGTAAACATAACCGTTAAAATGTACATCATAATGTGTGAATAAACAAAGGACAGAATAATTCAGTCTGAACGCAGTTGTAAAACTGCATATATGTATATAAACATATATAAACCCTTAAGTAAGAATTTAGGCATTGGTCATGTTTTACAGAGCATACCATAAAATGTGATGTGTATGAACTGGAATACGGAGACCTTGGTCATTCTGAGAAAACAGTAAATCATTACAAGGATGAATAAGTGAGCCATTTGTCTGTCATAAACGTGATTAAGCCACACCAAGGAAAAAGTGAAACTAGCATGTCCAGCTGAAGGTGATAGTTAAAGGTCATTCCAAGGAAAGCTCGATATATTCATCCATTTCTCTTCCGAGCACTTATCCCAAGTTGGGTCACAGGGGAATGGAGCCTATGTCTGCGTTACACCCTGAGCAGGATGCCAGTCCATCTCAGGTCATACACATGCACACGTAAGCATATGCCATCAACACCTTAGAGACAGAAACTTGCCAGACTATCTTTGTGCTGCAGGAGGAAACCCGCCGGGAAAATATGCAAACTCCATGAACACAAAGCAGATGTGGGATTTGAACCCCTAACCGTGGAAGTGTGAAGCAACACTGCTGTCTATTGAGACACTGCACATCAAAATCAGAATAATAACGTTTATCGTTATTTTGCCATAGTAGGTAACTTTTATTTAGTTATTCTCCCTTCCATAATGGTGCTGTGAGGGTCCTGGCAGCAAGTAGGAGGCAGTAGAGGTAAGGAGAGCCCAGCCACTGACAGGGGGGTCATTGTACAGGCGGCACGCTGGACAATGTGCTCTGTGCCCCCCATCGGTGCTCCACGCAGATGCCTGATGAGATGGAGGCCGAACGAGCTCAGCGGAGCTCGGATGGGCGACGCGTAGATGGGGAGGGGCCAGATGACAGGGCTGTCATTGTGAGGCCAACAGAAGCTCCTCTTACAAGGAGTCCCCCAGCTGCACGGGGGGGGGGTTTGCAGTATCGGACCTCCATTTTAGCTGTGTAATAATACTCCACCTCCCTTCCCTTAGGTCAGTTTGGTAAACCTGTTTTTGTTCTGTACTGATGCAGTTATGAGTTACAAGGTTATCCTCAGTGCAGTAGCTCAGTTTTACTGGCCAAAAGGGGGCGACATTGCCACCACACAGAACTACGCCGCCACAGCTGATGTCAAAGCTGCACACACTCCCAGCTCCCTTCTTCTCATTCCATCAGATAGCCACCTGTCAAGTGCTACGGGCTGTTTTTTTGTAACACTCCTGCCTGAGTCTGCCACACTGGGGAGGGCCCCTCCATCCATCATCACCAAAACCCAGACACCCTTGGGTTGGGGGGGGGGGGGGCAGAGTAGAGGGGGATGGGTGTGGCCTTTGAGGATCTGAGCATTGGAGAGGGACTGGGCCAGCAAATGCGTCAGCATTGAACCGCACCCAACCTTCACAAATACTCCCGATTTCATCCTACATACACTGAGTATTATAATCAGCGACAAAAGCAGGGCTGAGCTGCTCCAGGTTCTTTGCAGATGATTATAAAGAAACTCACATGATAATTAGTGAGCAGACATTGTCATTAAGGGATGTGCATCAAGACTCCACACTTTCATTTGCTCTTAAAATCATGGCACACAGAACCGAACCCTTCTAAAGGTGGAGAAACAAGAACCACCATAAAACTGTCCAAGTCCCCCCTGATGCTCGTCTGTGAAAAGAAATGAAGGAGTAGAGCCAGCAGAGCAGAGAAGAACCACTGGCCTTGAAAGAGCCTCATCTGCCCACTAGAGCATGACGTCTATGGAAGGGCAAAGCAGCGAGTGGTCAGGAGGTCTGCAGGAAGCATTAAAACAGGTAGAACCTTCTCGTCTCGGCCACCCTGATAGAGACACACACTAAGCTGAAATGAGTGGAATAACGACCACAATATAAGCTGACATGTATTGTGCATTTTTATTTGTGCAAGTTTATTTATGCGGGTGGACACATGAAAAACTCATTGAATAACATCTCACTCCACTGCTGGAAAAGAAGCCAATGGAATAAAAGGAGAAAATGGAACAACAGGAGCTGCATTCCATCCCTTGTTCTCCGTCATCCGCAGTGTGGAGAGGAAAAACTGAGCAGGGCTGCACGATTCTGGGTAAAATCCGAATGACTTGTTCCACTCAATCAAGACCACAATTTTCTTTTACGGTTCTTCAGTAATCCTAATACATATCTCTCCTCTTTATTATTATTTGCATTACATATTGTTTTTATTAAGACAGAACAAGCAATAAGATTGTTTCTGAAATGGGACTGTCACATCAACTTTGCGGAACAGAAAGGGCACACTCAGGGTTTTTAACAAAAAATATTTCCAACTGCAAGAAATACTAAACTTAAACCTCATCTGCTCTTAATTATAACACCTTCAAACCAATGTTTTCACTACAAATTCATTCCATTAATCTGAAAAAAACATCCACACAAGCGAATGAGACACGTTTTTTCGAACAAGCATTTTATTGCTTGAACTGGGCTTGGAAAAATTTCTTTCCACTTCCTCACCATCACCGGAGGGGTATTTGAGTTTGAATCATTTTTGTCCTTGTTGTCAAAGCATTTTCTTTCACCTTGTTGCACAGAATAATAATTTAATAATAAGTTAGGAAACAATAATTTGATTCCTAACTTGCCCCTCTTCCTGGCTACAGTCCGTCTTGTAGTGTAATGCAGTCCTGTCACTGTTGACACAGTTGACACAGTTGACACAGTTGACACAGTTGACACAGTTGACACAGAAGAAAAAGGCAGAGCCTGGTTTGAAGCAATTATGCAAACACGGCAAAATTGTTATGTAAGAATGGGATCATATAGGGGTATGAATTAAGATCATGATTTTAAAACAATTAATCGTGCAGCCCTACAACAGAAATGAAATTTTAGTTATCAGAGTTAACAGCTGGACTCCCAGAACAAAACTGAATACATAAGAACTGGGAGAAAACACGTGAGGCTGAATCACACCCATCCACTGTCTCACACAAGCTCCTCAGAGACGACTACAAGATACTCGCGTGACTGGATGATGTGTTACAGTAAAGGCACTGGGCTTTGTTAAATTAACAGTCTAATCCAGGCCACACACAGCAAAGGATCAGCTTTTTTGGTCCATATTCCCACTGATAAGTCAGTCATGTGGAACTGCAGAGAGGCAAACAGAAGAGACTCACAGGGCTGCCTTGCCCTCAGGCAGGTGAAGGTTACACTCGCACATGGACACACACCCACAGAGTCCTGCATTACAGTGCGGAACCCAGGGCCACGGCTGTTTGAGACATTAAAATAATTATGACTTGATCAACTGCATTAAGGGAAAACAGAGGGAAATTCCTCCAGGGTCTATATTGTCGTGGAGGGACGGACAATAATTGATGAATCAAACGAAGGATAGTAAAAAGCTCTCCTTTCAATACACATTTTATGAATAAAGTTCAAAACATGTTAGCACAGTGGTACAACAGAGGAGGACCTTGAGATCATTTCTCACTAGGGAAGTCAGTTCCCTTTCCTCCAGGACTGGAAACAGGGAGTACAATAAGGCAACATCCCCCTCCACTCCACCACGGGAGAATCTGCTCATGTCCAAACAGCTCACCCTAATCTCTGTTTGCCGTTGTTTTTGTTCAAAGTTCAGCAAGGTTAGCTTTAGCCTAGCGTGCATTTTTGATTCAGTGCGCGATGGGCGGTAAAGTCGGGGGGTTGGTTCCTGATGCCGAGGGCCGTCAGGACCTGTAGACAAAGTGGCCCACTGACACTGGCAGCCCCCGCTGGCACCTGAACCACCACCTCCCATCACACAGTTCCCTCCCCAGAGGCAGAAAAAAAAACATGTAAGAGCTCGATGAGCAGGACTGCCAGTTGGTTTCTGTTCTCCAAAACCAAACAAACACATGGGCCTTCATTAGGAGGGAGGTTCGTGTGTGTGTGTGTGTGTGTGGGGGGGGGGGTTCTGCTTGTCTTAAAGCAGTAAAAAAAAACATCACAGAATAGTGGTATACTATATACATATAACTGATGTATTATGCTGCCTGTGAGTCTCTCAGCATTGCATCTGTCCTTCCTCATGGAGCTCCAGCTGTAGTAAGTGGTTCGGCTGATCCACAGTAAGTGAACGTTTGCAGTCCACTTGGCGCAGTGGGGGGGGGGGGGAGCTTGCAACATGAGCACAGCACCCACAGCTCTCAGGTGTGAAGCTGCCCAGAGACACAGGGCTGTCAGGCAGAAACACAGGCACTCATCTAAACGTAGGCTGGAGGTTCAGGTTGATTATACCTGACACATGGGGAAGAGCCTCACCCTCTGTCACCCTCTGAGTTCCCATTACTGCTCATGTGAAGAGCCCTGATACTTCAGTAACTCATCAAGTAGTATAACCCTGATCACTGCTTATAATTATTTTTGCACAGCAAGGCGAGAAAAACAGAGGGAGAGAAGCTGACAGAGAGAGGTCAGCAATGTACGCCCCTCTCAACCCCCAAGCCCAAACTACCCACAATGCAACGGTGTTCCACAGCAACTTTTTGTTTAACTCAGGGGGAAAAAACAAACAAACTTTAAAACAATAAAATGCACAAACAAAACAGACCAGAATTAGAAGGCAACAGGTGATTAAACGACTGGCTTTGATCTGATCCACTATTTTCAATTTGCTTGGAAACACAGTGGGTAGGGTTATGGGGGAGAGGGGGGGCAGTGGGCATGTCCACGTGGGGGCATTTCCTGGGTTCCTCAGCACAGGCCCACATAGCTGAAGAGGAAGGGGACCAGGAAGAAGCAGTTGAAGCCCACGGTGCTGTAGACAATGTAGCGGTAAGGGAGTTCCACCTCCATGTGCTGCCGGGCCTGGCGGACATCATGGCTGGGGACGCCGACCAAACGGCATATCACCGGGATGGTCACGGCCTTCATGGCAGTGCGTGTGGCCAGAAGCACCACTACGCCCAGCAAAAGCCGCAATACAGTCCCGGCCAGCAGGGCGGCGCTGAAGGGTGGTGGGCTGAACGGCAGCTGCCACTGGGAGGGGTCAGGGAGCAGCCCTAGCCGCCGGTTGAGGTGGGCGCCCAGGGCGATGCCGGCCCCCGTGCCTAGAATCTGCGCCGTATCGCCCCGCGACGTGCTCCATGTGTCCAGGGTGAAGGAGAAGAGGCCCAGGCCCAGGTGCAGAGAGATGATGGCCAGCGGGGCATAAGGGCACGTCTGGTTAAATGTGTCCACCACATCCAGGGCCGGGTAGAACAGCAGCAGGATCAGAGCACTGTAGAGGATGCCGGCGATGACGTCCTGTGAAGGACAGCAATGCTTGTTACTCTCCTACAGGGACACGCTCTCGGACACGCGGGAAATCCCAATCGCACGGTTGCTGTGTACTGAGCTAAGCTGGAGAAGACGACAATGAGAGAGTTTGGAATGCCCACCCCGCAATTCGCCCCTCACCACTCCGTCACCGATAAGGTGGAGCTTATCTGGGCCTTATCGGGAAAGCAGATGTGGGGACAGTGGTCACATGACTTACGGGGACACAGCGCCACGTGCCAAGCGACTATGCGCCGCGTGTGGAAATGCACGCCAAAGGCATGCAGGGAGCTTAACCCATGAGCTGCTTCAGGGATGGTGTTTTTTTTTTTTTTTGTTTGGTCTGAGAAACCAGAGACAGAGAGGAAAGAATCACGTGTCTGACAAAGCATGCGGCATTTATCAGCAGCGAAGCAGCAAGACGGCACCCAGGGGCACTGGGGCTCCGGAAAGCTACAGCGAGGATGGGAGGGGAGGGGGGGGGGGCTGTGTCAATGTCTGCACAGCTGTTTTCTGACTGTTTTACATGCTTTCCAGTAACAGCTGGAACAGCTACTGACAGAGGATAAGAAATGGGAAAGCAGACTTCCTGTCCGGCGGCAATCCAGCGGAACAGGGAGGAGGTGAAGAAGCGGAGCCCACAGGGCTGCCGTCACGGTGACACCACTGTTACACCACGCTGTCACGCACTGGGAAAGCCTACAGCTTATACTGTGTGTGTGTGTGTGTGTGTGTGTGTGTGTGTGTGTGTGTGTGCGCGCGTGCGTGCAAAGCTGAACCGACTGACTCCCTGTCAGCTGAAACATTCCAGTGAAGCAATCCCCCCCCCACACCTTGTACAGTACATACTCCTTGCCCTCAGACTTTAAACCTCCACTAACACGCTCAGCGACTTCTCCACAGGGCCAGAGTACATGTGTAGAGAGGTGACACGCAAGCAGGAAATGTGGATGGTCACCCCTGACCTGCTATTCTCACCAGCAGAGTCACTGTGACATCTGGGCACGTGCCAGGAGTGTGAGCATGGGTGTCAGTTCCTCGGTGGCCTGGGGTTAAAAGCGCTGGGCTGCACCTTCACACCAGCCTACTCACACCTCACGCTGTCTGCAGAGACTTCATTATTCATTCGTTGTTAAAAGTAAATTACCGAACACAGAGTAAGCGTCTATGTCAGGACAACAGCGGCGAGAATAAGTGCCTAAATATGCCACAACCCCTGTGGTTAATTCTGTCACAACAACAACAACGTTGGCAACAGCCTAAACTTTCGTCTCGCGGCAGCTGACATAACTGGGGGTTGTTCGATGAAGCAGGATTTCTCAGTTAGCTGGGTTAATTTAAGCTAGAAGTCATGATGGTCCAATTGGAATGCTCCTTATCTAAACTCTTATTGGACAATCATGATTTCTAGCTTAAGTTAACCCAGCTAACTGGGAAATCCTGCTTCGTCAAACACCCCCCTGGAAAATGGTAGCTGCAGGTAACAACTGGCACCAAACCAGTCAACCTGGGGTGTGTGTGCATGTGGTCTAGGTATACCTTACATTGTGGGGACCAAATGTCCCACCAATATGATAAAAACCTGTTATTTTAACATTGTGGGGGCATGGGCGTAAATTATGGGGGGGATGGGGGGGTTGTAGCCCCCCCAATAAATCAAAACCAGCTACTACAACCCCCCCAATAATCATGTTTCCCCTGTAATGGGTGGAGACCTCAACCCCCCTAATGTTCCAGCCAAAGTTACGCCCATTTTTCTGGTCAACATATGGGGAAATTCAATAATTCAATTTTATAAAAAAACTGTGACTGCAATCAAAACCCTATGAATGCTAAAAGACTTGTATTTTGCTTGGTTACTTATGGTTAGGGTTAGGGCTGGGTGGGGGTTAAGGGTGTCATTGTTGGGATTAAAGTTTTGGCCATAGAAAGGAATGGACGGTCCCCACAAATATTTCTGTCTGTCTGTCTGTCAGACTGACAGACTGACTGTCAGTCAGTCAGTCAGTCAGTCTCGGCCTTCGGTTAAGGTGCCAATGGCATTTTGCTAGTGCCTGCATGTTGTCATGCCTGACAGCCTGAGGAAACAGAATCTTCCATGATCACAAACAAACACACACACAAGTTGGTCTTCCTATCTATGGGGAAAACCCTAATCCCAATCACGACAACCTTAACCTCTACCCATCCCTAACCTTAACCATAAGTAACCAACCCAAATTAAAGACTTTTGGCATTTTCACTTTTTTGATTGCATTCACAGTTTTTTTTTTTTTTTTTATAAAATTGAGGTTATCCAAATGGGGACCTCAAAAGATGTCCCCAAAAGTAGGAAAATTTCAGGTTTCACTACACTTTGGGGAAAATTTGGTCCTCAAATGTGATCTAAGCAAACACACACACACACACACACACACACAGGGCCTTTACAAAAGGCTGCAGGAAAGAGCAGGGTGGGGTGCTTCCATCCTCGAGGATGTAGCAGAGGTGGAAGGGGGGCAGGCTTTGGTTTGAGAGAGAAGCTTTCAAGCTTTTCTCCGCCGGCGAGAGGCATGTGGGCCGCACTGCCGCACAGACGCCGTTATGGTTCATTAGGTGTCCTATTACGGGCATAATGAGGCGAACGGGAATGTGCCCACAGGGGAAAGCCAGTCCTGAAATGACCAATCAGAGTGTGACGCTGACTCAGCAGAGGGTAAGACTGTCTGATGGGTACAGGCTGGGTAAGAGGACCAGCCAATCCAGCACCAGAGAACACAGTACTGAGCTCCAGGTTCGGATGCATAGTGAAGGAGAATGTGTTGCACACAGGCAATTAGAAGCCTTAATTACCCACAGGATCAGCACACAACACACCGGGTCACGTGAATTTGGACTGCAGGCCACCAGACTTTCTGAGCATTAGCCAAAGTATCAAACAAGAGAGGTTCGTCCACCATCGCAATCCACAAGCCTCGGGTAAATCCCGAGGGCGCCGTCATATCCCTCAGCATGTTAATTAAGGGAAGGACCCCAAGGTGTCCTCCTTTTTGGTACTGCGAGGCCTCCTCAGAGGCAAGTGTCAGCAATCAAAACAACAACAATAAATCATTAGAGACTCCCAGCACTCTGTAGGTCAGTCAGCAATTTGCAGAGCGCACTGTATGTCAGTCAGCAATTTGCAGAGCCCACTGTAGGTCAGTCAGCAATTTGCAGAGCGCACTGTAGGTCAGTCAGCAATTTGCAGTGCGTTCTGCCACGTCAGTCAGCAATTTGCAGGGCACTCAGGTAGGTCAGTCAGCAATTTGCAAGAGGATGGTAAGGTCAACCTGGGCCCAGTTCTGTGTGAGTTGCATTGCATGTTGGGCATAGCAGATAAAAATGATGAGCTCCCGCCCTTCCCCCATGGCACCCGCTCGACAGTGAATGCCAGGGGCAAGCGGATACCTTCGGTAACCGGCGCCCGGGATGCGGCCCAGCTGGATAGTAATGCCAGTGGAACCCTTTACACAAGTCACTGTAAGGTCATCCCAGCCAAACCCCCACTAATACCTGCATCCCTGCACATCTTGTTCACCCATTTAAGTAGCTTCAGTAACCAGAGGAGGAAGGAACAGCTTACTGCTAATTGGGGAGGGCAGCTGGGACTAGCAGGGGCTAACAGGACTGCCTCACTGCCAATAGGTGAGATTAACTGGGGGAGGAGAGACAAGGTTAGCTGCACTAGGGCGGCAAGCTGATGCTAACTCAGATTAACTATGATGGGTGGCCAAGGTTAAGGGGAGCTGGGGGGGGCGACGGTGACAGGTGGCTTCTCGCAGCCGTGGGACTCACCAGGATGGAGTGCATGCCCATGTAGATCCGGCTGAGGCACACCAGGACACACCAGCTCAGTGCCAGCACCAGGCCCAGTGGCATGGGGTACTGTGGATGTGGAGCAGGAGAGAGTTAGCATCCATTACTGACAAGCTACAGGCCTCAGAAACACACACTACAGCACAAAGCCCCACCACTGACCAGGGGTAGCCCCCAAAAGACGTTACACACGGCTGAGACAAGCACGACAAGCAGCTCCACCCTCCTCTGGGACCAATGTGTACCAATTCCAGACAGTGACTGGAATAGATAAAGTCAAAGGTCAAAGCCCACCCAGTGATCAGGCAGCCTGAAGTTTAGTCATATTCCTGACACACATGCAAGTCAGATGACTTCTCCTCATCTAACCACTTCCTTCAGATTCAATCTGAATTTCCTACATCTGCATGACAAGGAAGATATGTTATACAGTGTCAGCTTTTCTTAACTGCAGCAACACAAATCTGTCCCTAGAAACACTTTTGTGCATCAATCCCTCACTGGGACGCATACGAGACGCACTGCCTCCCTCACCTGGGAGCGTAGGAGATGCACTGGCTCCCACACTGGGACGCGTAAGAGACGCACTGCCTCCCTCACTGAGACACACGCACACCCTCACCTGGACACGTATGAGACGCACTGGTTCCCTCACCGGAACGCATACGAGACGCACTGCCTCCCTCACCTGGGAGCGTAGGAGATGCACTGGCTCCCACACTGGGACACATACGAGACGCACTGCCTCCCTCACCTGGGAGCGTAGGAGATGCACTGGCTCCCACACTGGGACGCGTATGAGATGCACTCCCTCCCTCACCGAGACACACGCTCCCACACTGGGACACGTATGAGACGCACTGGTTCCCTCACCGGAACGCATACGAGACGCACTGGCTCCCTCACCGGGACACATATGAGACACACATCCAGCTCCATGTTCTGTGCTTCCCTGAGATCAGCTTTCCATCCATCATTCCAGTGTCCATATTGATGGAAAACCACTTATAAGAGGGAGGAACCAAGCCAGTGAATGGAGAGAAAGATGAGAAGAGAAAGAACAAAAAGGGAAAAAAGAGAAAGAGAAAAGAGGTCTGTTTGTAACTGCCTCCCCCACCTATTATTCTCTGTCAGAACTCCCCCATCGCAGTGTATGAAAGAGGAAGTGCTCGTTCTGATGCTCCCCTCCCCCAACGTTCTGACCGTGCCTGTGATTCCCAGACCTCAGGGTACGATTCTCACAGCGGGTCATGGCGTCCATACAGATATGAGAGGTGTCTACACAGCAACCACCTCCGTTTATGTAACACTGCACCCAGCTAGATATTAATTGCCCCAACCCTCCCCCAAGTATCTTGCAGCCTCTCGAGACCAGAGGGGTATGAGGAGGGTAATCAGTACAACAGTGAATCACACAGATTACACCATGTGTGAACTCAGATCTGACAGGGTGCTCGACTGATGAGACCCTGCTCGATGTGACCTGGGCTTGTAAGAGAGACCCCCACTGGGGGCAGACGGCCAACACATTTCAGAAAAGCACATGGTATGTGGGCGGCAGGGCAAACTGACCTGGCCTCATCTCATCTAATCTCATCCTCCAGCAAACAAGAGCTTCAAGTTAAAGAGCCACAGTTACCCCATTCAAAGCCCCATTCATCATCAGCGTCCAATCCACCAACCAGGAACCTTTCTGAGATCACATGACTCAGGCTGAGCATATGGTCAGGCGTTAAGGAAAAAAATGTAATAGTCATGGGATCGACTTTCTACACGCTTTCAAATCTTTAAATGAGAGCGAATTCCATATGGGCAAAGTAACATTCGCACCTTTTACCTCTACAAGCTCACCTACTAGCCTGTCTCCATGTTGGTAGTGGGTCTTTAGAGCTTGGCTGCAACTGACTGAGTCTGGCAGCATTTAACAAGCCAAGTAGGCTCTGTGTTTTCTTTCATATTGCTTTGTAAAAAGTGTACCATTTTAAAATAAAAGAACCCATCTTAACATGCAGCACAGTGCATTAAAACAGGAACTGCGTGACATAATTGTGAAAAGCAACTAGTCCTGGCTGACAGACGTGCTACAACATGCACCGGCTCCATGGCACTGAGAACCATCTGGTCACTGTTCCCCGGGGCTGCATGCCAGGCGGGGGATTCCAGCTGGGGAGATATGGGAGAGAGCGCCTGTAGCAGGACCAGGCAGGAGCAGGAAGTCCCGCGGGTTTCACAGCTACAGACAGGACAGAAACACAGACACACTTGGGAGATCAGTCTAGAGGTCTCCCAGTCCCAAACTGAACCTGAGAAGCTCTCGAGACCCAGATGAAACAAATGTGGGACCCAAGAGCCATCCCCTGTGGGCTCCCATCATGCACTGCTCCAGCTGGCAATCAACTGCCAGGCTAAATATGCCAGACATCCGAGTCACAGATAGAGTGACACTGGCTTGGATCCAATGCTCAGCACACCCGGTAACCAGAGATCTTAGACCCACGGGTCGGTTGACACGCACAAGCAAAGGACACAGTCCTCGTACTGCAGCGACGGGCTGCGTTTTCCCCAACCCGTCTTTCAGGTTTACGCCCTGTAAAATCTGAGCCAGCCAATCAGCGACTGCGTGCGGTAACCATACAACAGATGGGCAGGGCCTGTGACAAACGCGGCTCGCCGATGGCTCACTCTCGGTCACAGGGAGGCCATGGACCCGTTTGGCCAGCGCACACAAAGGCGGGCTGCAGACACCCCGTTGTAAAGGATCAGACTCCTTCTGAGAAACAAACTAAAAGACCTGCATTGCGTGGTGTGGACCTGAAACCCCCTGAGCATGGGGAGCAGGGTGACCTCCTTCTGAGCACATGCACACCCGGCAACACTGCTAACGGGAACACTGATATTCATACATCTGTGTCTGGTTAACGAGGCTGGGAGAGGAAGGAGGAGCTAGAGGACCGTGTGTGGGGTGGGGGGCTCAGTCTGAGCTTCATCCCAGTCAGAACCATGGCATTTTCCATGGAACCTGCAGACGAAAAGCAGAGCCAGTGTGGGGGAGGGAGGCTGGAGCAGAGAAAGGCCAGGGCCCCATGTCCCGCGATCCCCCACCCCACTCAGCTAACTTTCAAGTATGGTGGGAGTGAGCTGATCCTAAATCAGCGCTCGGGCACTGCTTCCCTCCCCAGAGCTGCAGCTAGATGCGAGTTTTTAGCTGGGATACCAGTAAACCCCGGCTAGCTGTTTAGGAAGTTAGGAAGTGTTAAACATCTGAATGTGGCATCAAAGGAGCAGCAGGGTGGCTCGTTAAAGTGGCAAAGCCTCAAGATGTGAGTATGTGGGGGGGG